TCTTAGGTTTCTTCCGGGGATCAAATGAGATGAGGCCATGTAAGGCCCTCCCATGACACCAAACATTTGCTTCCATGTATTTCCCCCCCCACCCCAATTTGTACAGACTAGGGGATAAGGTGATTCCAAAAGTCAAAGACCTCCCAGGACATGTCGGGGAAATGCCCTCTTGCCCGTGGCCTCGGTCTTCCCCGCTGTGAAAGGGGTTGAAGATGGTTCAAGGCGCCTTGCTGGCTGGGCCTGAGCCTAGGTGATTCATCCCAAAGGCTCCACCTCCTGCCCTGGCAGTTGGTGGGCTGGAAGGGACCACTCTCAACCCTGACCTTTCCCACACCCCCCCTTTGTAGGAGATTTCCCCAACAGCCCTGCTGTCACCATGGCGATGAGCCGAATCCCCCATCTTGCTGGCCGCCCGCAGTTCCCCTTGCTAGGGGAAAGGCCGCGAGAGCCGCTGATAGGCAAGGTGTCAAAGCCAATTGGTGTGACGGACTTGGGGAAAACCGCTTGTGAGGGCCAATTCCCCACAGGACGCCAGGAAGCCCTCAGCCCAAGGCAGAGTGTTTACGGGCGTAATTGATAGAATAATCACTAACACCCAAGACAACGGCAGACACGTTTTGAACATCATAACCTTCGGGAGACAGTATTCAATTTTCTCCGTCTCCCAGCCACCAAACTAGCCAGCTGATGGACGACGAGATACCAATAGTTCTCGAGGAACACGAGAAAGCCAAAGTCGTTTTTCAGTGCACAGGCTGTTTGCCAAACGGCCGGTGGCTCCCCCCCCCCCTCCCCCAGCACCCCGGTGCTCCCTCCTGGCAGCAGAGAGAACCTCCGGACAGCGACTAACTCAATGGACAAAGCACCCGGCCAAGTCAGGATCTTTGTCTGCACCGGGGTGCATTAATAATTGAAGGTGCTGGCCTGTGTGTGTGTGTGTGTGTGTGTGTGTGTGTGTGGCAGGGGGTGGGGGGTGGGAGGATGGGTGTTAGCTGCAGTATAAGGCTCCCTGAGGCTCCTCTCTGGGTTCGCATACCTACTCCAGCCTGGACCTCTCCCTCTCCTGCAAAACCAGACCAAGCCTTCAGCTCCTGGCACCTGGCAATGTCCTGCCCCCTATTGTGCGAATACTTAAGACAGTGGCTCCCAAACTCCAGGCTGCAGGAGAATCATCTGGGAAGTTTATTAAAATGCAGGTTCCAGCCGAGACAGGTTTGGCTCAATGGATAGAGCATCAGCTTGGGGACTGAAGGGTCCCCGGTTCGATTCCAGTCAAGGGCATGTACCTTGGTTGCGGGCATATCCCCGGTAGGGGGTGTGCAAGAGGCAGCTGATCGATGACTCTCTCTCATCGATGTTTCTAACTCTCTACCTCTCTCCCTTCCTCTCTGTACAAAATCAATTTAAAAAAATGCAGGTTCCAGGGTTCCATAAACAATCATTTTGGCCAATGGGCCTGGGGAAACCCCGGGTCTGCATTTAATAAACTCTCTGGGCGATTCCAAGGCAGGGGGTCTGCAAAGATCCTCACAAAGACCCCCTCGCTGGACCCCCGCCTTGAGCAGGCTCTGGAAAGATTATGGAGGAGGCCAGACCAGCTGACTTTGTCTAACTTGCCCGTGGCCTCAGCAAGATCCTGTCATCTTTCTGGTTCCTCTTGAAGGAACCCACTGCCTTGCCAGTCCTCTAGGGAGCTGGAGGGGGGAGGTGTGCTTGATAGGGACTGTGCAGGGGAACAAGTCTCATTACATGACCTGCCAAGCCCACCTCAAGGCTGTCCTGAAGCAAGCAGGCCCAGAACGGCCGGGCACACCTTTAACCTAGGCACAGACTCAGCGACCTTGGGCAAGTCACTGGTCCTCTCTGAACCTCAGGGTCCTCTTCTGTCCAGCACCAGCCTTCCATGAATAATGTCAGCATTAGTGACTTCACACTGGCAGGATCTGGCAGCTACTAGCAGACAGTAGGTGTTTCATAAGCGTTAGTTCCCTTTCCTCCCTCCCATACTGTGCTGATGGCAGTGAGCTAACCCTCTTTGATAAGGAAAAATCAAGATAGCTGCTATTTACTGAGCAGACACGGATGGACGGAACCACCCCAGCCTCCGGAGTCCTGACGCCTCCCTAAAAGGCATAACAGTGAGTTCCCCAATTCATTCTTTATGCCTTCCAAACGCTCTCTGCGAAGTGGGCTGAAGGGAGGCCACAAGGAGTGGGAAGCGAGACAGATGTCCTTGAGGACCCGTCTGACCACGGGCTCTCCCTGTGACAAGCTCCGGTCGGGCAGGCGGAAGGCGTTAGTTGGGCTACCGGGCTCAGCTCAGATCGAGCTGGAGCGGTAAGCGGCCAGCAAGCGGTCGGAGTCCGTGGGCCTCTCAAACCAGGAGCCCCTGCTTGCAGCCTCCACCCCCCACCCTAGGCACGGAGACACCTTCCTAACCCGGCCACACTTCCTGAATCAGCCGAGGACACGCAGAGCCCAGGAATAATGAAACGATCAGGCTCCAATCTGCTAAACAGCAATTTCTGGGCTTTTTCAGCACACACAGCTTTTATCAAATTGGTATTCTCCTCCTGAACACAAATGGCTTATTAGACATGACCCACTTATTCACCGCGTCTCGCTATCATTAATAACAGTTTCTTTTTGTGATTAAGTGAGTGGCTCCAAGCCCTTCCTGTGGTGGCGGGCGCTTGGCCCCGCAGAGGGGCCGCCGTGGGGCTCCCCGGCAGCCACGACTTGGTGACTTTGAACCTGACGATGCTGGGGAAAGGCAGTCCGGCCCCTGCGGAGTTGCCTGGCCTCCTCATTTCTTGAAAGACAAAAGGAGCCCCAAAGGGGTGACTCACTTGCCCAGAGCCACATGGGCAGTGTGTGAGAAAAGTCTGGTTCCCCAGCAGTCTGCCGCGTCCTTTCCATCTACACCCCCCACTCCCCTCTGCTCTGGGCCACATAGCTGACCTTTCCAGGGTTCAGAGGGACATTACAGCTGGTGGACAGAGCTGTGCCCCTAAGCACACCTGGCACCAGTGGTCGGTGGAAAGTGCCACACAAAGGGCAAATCCCACTCCCCTATAGGGGACCACCTCTGGACTCAGAGTGAGAGTGGCACCCAGGTCCTCGGGGTCTGGTCCTCAGATCTCTCGGGACTGCAAACTCAGGAAAGCCCTTCCTTGGAAAAGCCTCCCAGAGTTAAGTTTCAACCTTGCCAAGGAAATGAGCGGAGCAAGGAGGGGAGCGGAAGGAGGAATTCCCAGTTTCCCTTGAATGGAGGGAATCTGACAGGGAGATGAATGTCCTGGAAAAAAGCGCTGTCTTTTCCGACAGACCCTGGGGCCAGTCCCAGCTCAGCCACTCATTCACTGTGTGACCTTGGGCAAGTCCCGTCTCCTCTCTTGGCTTCTCCATCTGTAAACTGAGGGTCAGAATAACCGTTCTCCTATTTACCATGGCTCCAAACAGATCGGTGGAAATTAGATGAGGGATAGGAAGGGTGCATAAATGATACACAGAGCAGTCACTATCAAACCTGGTAAAGCAGGGAGGGTACAGGGAGTCATAGTAGTCCAAAAAGAGAAACCCCAAGAAGAGCTTTGGAAGCCCCCCACACCCTCTGGAGAACCCCACTCCTGCGTCCCACCCCAGTCCAGCCTAAGCTGTCTCTCATTAGCTATCCCCACCCCCACGCCCTCACCCCTGTCCCAGAGCTTACTCTTCCCCATAAGAACAAATCACCCAATTCTCTGCCTTTTGTTCAAACCTCCCCCCGCCCCCACCCCAGCCCTGAGCATACAGTGCCCAGCATGGATGCTGCAGCTCCCCCCACCAGATTGGGGGCCTCTGCAGGGAAGGAATGAATGGAGGAAGGGTCTCCATTTTTACCTGCGCCCTGCTGGCCCCATTCCACAGCCTGCCTCGCGGGGGACAGGGGCCCCACAGCTGCCGCCTTAGATGATCTAACTCTGCTGCCAACTTGGATTCCTCCGGGGCTAGAATGAGCTCTGACACTTGGGCAACTAGTGCTGGGAATGCTTATCCCCAGCTCCCGCAGCTGGAGTTGATTTCCCACATTTCAGTCCTCCGAGGCAGAGGATAATGGTGAGTCGTGGTACCCTATAGAGGGATGGCAGGGCTTCCTGCCCACCCCCAGAGGCAGACAAAAACATCTGGTTTCCTTTTTCCTCTTCTATGCCTTTGGCTGGAAGCAGCGATCCCAACTATTCCAGTGTCTTTGAGGGGATCCCACCAAGCCTCGGTCCCTGGGATACACCCACCCCACAGGGGCAGATGCAGCCCAGGCTACCAGTTCTCTAGAGGCACAGTCTCCCTCCCTCCCTCCCTCCCCCCTGCTTTCCCAATGGCATAAGGGACAAGTGAAGAGAGGGAGGGGGCAAGGGCAGCTGTGGGCTATACCCACAAAGGGGAAAGGCAGATGGGCAGGAGAGGTGGATAAGCAAAGTGTGTTCACAAGTGTGTATGTGTATTTGCCAGAACGTCTGCGGGCGGGCAGGCAAGAGTTGTGCAGAGTGTGTGAGCCGGAATGCCAGCTGGCAGGGTGTGAGCTGTGTGTGTGTGTAGTGGGCATAAGTGTGAGTGCTTATGAGTGAGGAGGGGAACTGAAAAGGTGTCTGGAGATGTGCGAGGGTAGGTGCTGTGAGTGTGAGAAAGCAGTGAGTGTGGCTCTGAGCGTGCCCATGGCTGTGCATCGTGGAGATCGTGGAGATGTGTGTATCAGCGAGAGTGGGTGTGGGGGGGGGAGGAAGGGGCTCTCCGTGGGAGCCGGATCCCGGGTGCGCACGGGGTGCCCCCTCCTCTGCAGGAATAGCCGGGAGTGCGGAAGTGGGAGGGGGGGGAGGCAGGTCGGTGGACCCAGCAGAGGGCGCCTGGGACTCCCGCCACTGGCCAACGCAGGTTCGAGCCCCGGGAGCGCCAAGTTGGAGCGCGCAGCCAGGGTGGGGTTCGGTGGGGGAAGTCCGCGGGGGCGGCGGCGGCGAACTCACCGTGGCCGGAGACGTGGTTGTCCCAGGGCGCGTGGCCGGCGGGCCGCGTGGCGCCGCCGAGTTGCAGGAAAAGTGCCAGGTAGTGGAGGGCGCCCAGCGCCACCGCGAGCGGGGCTCCCATGGTGCGCGCTCGGGCCAGGGGCGCCGCCGCCTCCTCACATCGGGGCTCCGGAGACCGCAGACCCAGCGCCCGCCGTCCCCTGCCGGGTGCGGCCTGGCTGCCCGGCTGCGACCTCTGCCCCTCGCCCGCTGAACCCGACCCGACCCGGCTCCAGCCCTCGCCCGGCCCGGGCCCAGCCCCAGCTGCTGGCAGCGAGAGCACGCCCAGCCGGCTGCCTCCGACTGCGGGACTCTTCCCTTCCGCGGAAGGCCACCGTGCGCGGCTCGCCGCCGCACCCCCTCCTTCCCACTCCTCCCGCCCGCCCCGAGGAGGCAGGCGGCGGCGGAGGGATCTGCGGCTTGATTTATCATCAAAGTTTTACCCAGGCTGGGATTTTTAAAGCGGTACCCTCAACTTTCCCGGCCCCAGAACACAGGTAGGGGGCGGGATGGGGTGGAGGAAGGCACCCCAGGGACCCGGTTCCCTCAAAACATAAAACCGGATCCCGGATTCTGGCTTCAGAAGCAGAAATACTATCCAGTGGGATGAGAAAGGAAACCAATCCACCTGCCGCCAGACCCAACGCGCAGAGGGACTCCACAACTTTGCTAGCAGGACGGTGCCGGGTGGTGGTGGTAGGGGGGTCGGGGGCAGGTCGGGGTGGAGGTGTCAGCGAGGAAGGGTAGAAATCAGGGCCAGAGCCCACGAGACCTGAGGATAGTCCCGCCGCAGCCTTTGGAATCGTGTGTGATCATGTCGTGGTGTCCACCCCTGTCTGAATCTCTTGGTCTTCCTCTGAGAAATGGAAATAATAGCTAGAGGTCGTTGGTGAGGATTTATGAAAACGTGTGTCTAAAGCACTTAGCATAATGCCGCTGCCATGGCAAGAGCTCAATATTTATTATTGTTGTTGTTCCCCTCTCTGGAACTCAGTTTTCCTGTCTGTAGAATGGGAGTGAGATAGGCCAGCTGCCGCGGCTCCTTCTAGTGGATTGGATCACTCCCTTCTGGACCCAGAGCACCCTTCTTAGAACGACTGGCCTAATGGAATATTAGGGCAGGGAGAGGGGATAGCTAGCGAAACCACTCTCATTAAACAAGAGCAGGAATCCAACTAGATCCTCTCATCCCTTCCCTGGCCGGTTTACTGGGGCTGTTGGGAGAGACTTTCAGTACAGATACACGGGTGGACTCATGGCCCCATCTAAAAAATGAGGAAGCACATTAAATTAGAGAAGTGTCTTCTCCGAGATCCTACGGTGAGTCTGGGGCGAGGTAGGTCCCTCCTTCGCTCTCATCCTTGGTCCATTTCCTGGCCTCTCTGCTGAGGGTTCAGCACCGCGGAGGAGGATAGCGCCAACCCAGCAACCAGCCTTTAGGCCTCGCGGACTGAACTGCGCCTCCGCTGGCTCTTAGATGCGAGAATTCAGCACCGTGGACAGAGCTATCGATGTCCCCACGAGCCCTCGGGGAGTTCAGCACCGCGGACGCCCCGCTTTCCCTTCCAGATCACAGGCGTATCCTGGGGATAGCATTGTAGACAGCGCCCCAAGTTTGAGAATGGGGTTAGAGCCCTGGGGACTGCTCCCCACCGCTCTGTCTTTACTCTGTCCTCTCACTCTCCTAATATCATGGCGGGCAGACACCCGTTGGGGCCTGTGGCCGCCAGCAAATATCCATTTCATTCAAAATTAGCCAGCCTCCTGAAGTGTCGAGCACTTACAAGTAATGTTTCAACACAACGGACCGCCCCTATAGGACCAGCGGCGCCGCTCTGTTTCAGCACCATAGACAGGTCCTGGCCTGTTTAACCAGCTTCTGGGGCCCGCATTCACCAGAGGAAATGGTCGGTTTTGTTGTTGTTTGTTTTTCCGAATTGATTTACTAATCGCTTCCTTCCCATGCAAAAGTGTCATGGATTCTACAAAAGCGTGTTTTTTTTTTTCCATTCATTAGTTCATTTGAGCCCCGCTCCCAATGAAAAGGACTCTACCGCCCCCATTATAAAGATGAAGAAACTAAGAATCTTGAAGATCACGTAGCAGTGCGAGACTGATACCTAGGACTCTTTTAGTTCCTGCCTGAGAAGGAGAACGTGGTGGCAAAACTGGCGCTCAAATTCAGGGCATTCTTCTCACAAACCACAGATTGGGAGTGAGGGGGTGGTGTCAAGAAAGAAGACAGGAAGAGAGAGGAGATTAGAAGAGAAGAGAGAAGAGAAAACAAGTGATTGCCTGGGGGCTGCAGCGGAAGGAGGCCCGGGAACACACTGCTGCTCAGCCAGGAACCCACTTGCTGACCTTCAGGAGTCCTTTCTCCTCATAGTCTGGGACAGGGCTGAACCCAGTAACCTCTAAGATTCCTTCAAGGACAGACCTCCAGGGATTTTATGACTTTGAAAAGGCTTGTGCTATAATGGCTTGGCTCAAGCCACTCCAATGGCCTTGTTTCTTTGAGAAATCCTGGCTTCTTTAGTTTGCATCCAAGGTTCCAGCCTCTTCTCCTGCATATACCTTCTGCTCCAGGCACAATTCCCTCCATGTTCCCTCCCTGAACATGTCCTAACTTCAGCATGTCCTTACCCTTCCTTGTGTTTCCCCTCTGCTTGCATGCATGCCTTCTCTCCTATCTAGCTGAGTCCTCGTTGGCCACGGTCCAGTCTGAGTCTTTCACAGAAAGTAATGCCTGCTGCCGTCTCCTAGTCTCTGAGCCTCTACTGGCCCATCACTGTGTACCCAGCACTATGCTAAGAACTTCAGAACATCCCGGTCATCTAGAGTAGAACAGTGTGATTATAAGTGTGGACTCTAGTTTTTTGTTGTTGTTTTTTTTAAAAAAAATATATTTTATTGATTTTTAACAGAGGAAGGGAGAGGAATAGAGAGCTAGAAATGTCGATGAGAGAGAAACATCGGCCAGCTGCCTCCTGCACACCACCTGCCGGGGATGTGCCTGCAACCAATGTACATGTCCTTGACTGGAATTGAACCCAGGACCCTTCAATCTGCAGACCGACGCTCTACCACTGAGCCAAACCGGCTTTGGTTGGATTTTAGTTTTAAAGCCTGCCACCTGCTAGCCATGTGACCTTAGACAAGTTACTTAGCCTTTCTGTGTCTGAGCTTCTCATCTGTAAAACTGAGATAATAATGCCTCTGTCACATGATTATTGTGAATTAAAATCACTTTCTACATGGAAAGGTTTTAGAACAGCTGACACATAGAAAATCCATGATACATGTTGGCTATTATTAATAGAAAAGGAAACATGCCCAGAGAGGTTAAGAATCTTGTCTAATGTCACACAGCAAGCCAGGTGTAGAGCCATAATATGTTTGATTGCAGGGCCCATGCTCTTCAGCCTAATACCTAAGCACATCTAATTCCATGTACCCTCTTTGCAGCTTAGGCAATTAACACCCAGAGAGGATGAGTGAATTCCTCAGAGTTACACAGCCAACCACAACAAAACTAGATCCAAGTCCTCCCAGTTCGCAGCTCCCCCGCTGTACCATTCTGTCCCTTTTGCATTTCCTACAGCACCTAAATTGCTCTTCACAGTTTATAGATCACATGCACATCCACGATCCAGCACAGGCTGCACAACGAGGTGGGGCAGAGGCTGGATGTGACAGGATGCATCGTCGGCCCATATTCCTCCCCTGTGTCCTCCTGTCTCTTTTCTGCTTCACTGATCCGAGTGCCAACTGCAGGCACTGTGTGTGGAAGCAGGGAGCCTAGTGAAGGCTGGTGGTAAACACAGACTTTCCCGGAAAATAGTCTCTGGGAATTCACCAGGGTGGGTGACTCCTGTCACTCATCTCACTCGGGGAACGCTCCAGGGGATAGTAAGCTTCCCATCCCTGGAGGCAGTTAAACAAGCATCCCATGGTTTGGCGGAGACCAGGAGGCAAATATCACGGCTGTTTCCATTACCCAGATGAAGCTCAGAAGGTGAACATCATGCCAAGCATTTCTGTCGGGAATGATGATCTTTTAAAAGTTCCCCCCAAGCAGGGGCTCTCACACTGTGTCCCCTCCTTGGACCCACGCTCCCTGGAGAGCCCGCACCCTCTCCTGACTCAGGGAGGCCACCCTCCCTTCCCTCCTTGAGAGGTGTCACTTGAGCGCCACGGCTCTGTCAGTGGTAACAGCCGTAAGATTTGTCCTTTTAATCCAGAATCAATAGCAAATTTCATTTAAAAATAAATTAAACCAGGCATTGGAAATCATTCACCGTGTGGGCCAGCACCCTATATAGTGCCGTCTAAATGGCTTCCTTTTGCTCATCTATCAATGCCAAGATGGGGGAAATACCTAAGCTGCCTGATTCATGGAGAAACTACTTAAATGTATCAGCCCCTTAACAATGAGCAATGTGAGCCCGGAGTTGCACCTTTTAACACACCAATAACATGTGGAGCATGGCTTCATAGGAGCTTATCAGAGACCCCTCGGTCACCGGCTTCGAGGGAACCCATTTGTAAGGGGGAACAATGGCTTCAGTATGTAGCTGCCTAATTTCCAGAATGTATTACTGAGCTCAGAGGAGCAATGGAATCCTATTAAACTCTTATCTGCCATGGGAGGGCTGAAACCAGCAGGGGAAGCCCGATGTGGCATAGACATGCCCAGAAAACACCAGGGCTGACCCCGGGAGGCGGGGGAACAGGCCCAGAGCAGGTAGGCAGGCGGGGCCCCAGATGTGTGAGAATATGTGCATTAATAGGGCTCCGGTTTCCGGTGATTACCTTTACATCAGTGAATAAAACTTGGCAATAAAACATCGGAGCTGCGTCTCAGACAGCCTGGTGTATTTCACTCATTATAACAGGAGGCAAGGAGCTTGAGGTGTTCCCATTTCTCCCCCTTTAATTACATGTCCTAAATTGCTGGCCAAGGTTTGGATAAAGGGAGAGACTTACGGCTCTGCTAATCGCCATCGCGGCTCCCGCCCCATCACTGTGGTGGCCCTGACTGTACCAGTTCCAATATTACTAATGTGACATACTGTGGGTATT